AGGAAGAATGAGGAGCTGATACCAAGGGATCAAGTAGAAAGAAAATGTTTTGAAAAGGATGGAAACATGTACAAATGTGCTTGACACAATGGATGTATGGATTGTTATAAGAGCTATAAGCGCCTCCAATAAAATTATTTTTTTTAATCAAAGCTCAGAGAAGTTGACCTTTTATCTTCAATGTCGATTGTTGGCTTGCCTTTTCTTTATACAGTTTACCGGTACTGATGACTACCTGATGGGCCGTGTTGGTCTTGGTTGGAATCAGCTGTTGTTCTACTGAGAGTTCTATGCAGAGGAAACTGACGCTAAAGACAATCCAGCCGGATCACTCGGGACTGGAGGGGAGAAGGCAAGAACCACCAACTAGAAATGCTACTCACGGGGGCAATGACCCTCCGTCACATGGAGGAAGTACTAAGAAGGATGACGTCACAGCGGAGCAAATGAGGGAGCCAGTAATGTCGACTGAAATGAGTGCACTCAGGAACCTGACCTTGATTGGAACCAGGGATTTTCTTGGCAGATGTTCTGTTCTGGAGGGTGAGTTCTAGTACTGATCCCTTCCGAGGGACACCTTATGAGGACAGACACATGCACAGTGGGAGGATCTGGCTATGTGCCAAGGAACCCCCAGAAACACCAGAGGGGACCAGGAAGAGACACGGAAGGGTCTTCTAGGGCCAACCGAGAGAGAACGTGGTGGTGGCAACCCTGAATTCTGACTTCTAGCCTCCAGAACAGGAGAAAGCCGAGACTTTGTACTCTCCCAAAGAGTTCACTCGTGGAAACCCGCAGGGTCACTAAGAGTCGAAATCGGCTCCAAATGGCAGTGCCGTTAGAAAATAAATTTCTATTCTTTTAAAGTCACACGCTTTTCGGTACTTTGTTACAGCAAAGGTGATTAGAGCTATGGAATCCCAGACAATGAGCAGAGATGTTTAAGAGACTCCCATGGATCACAGTTTCATCAGAGTTCAGAAATGGTTGCTGTAAACATTCCATTCTAGACAGTGATTTGTGTTGTGCTAAGTCTTCTACCCATGTCACTACTGCCTGTCCCTACCATTTCACATCATTCAGAAAGGCCTACAATCGAGCCATGCCATTAGAACCATCAAGTTTTATTGTCTAGAACTCTGATTAGATCTCATCCTGGAAGGGGAAATAAACATACCGATACGTTGCTCGTTTTTGAACATCCTTTTCTTACAAATTTTCATTTTGGAAAATGATCTCTTGGATGTGAACGATGTGCCCTCTACTTATTATTTAAAACTGACTCCAATAAATATTTAAAGTTCCATCGCTAATTATGGGCTTAGCTATGTCAGCTTATTTTCTGTTGACTTAGCTGGACCGTGTGCTTATGATTCCACAAGTCTGTCATCTTTTTGTAACAACATGGTGCACACACTCTGGATAGTTTGATGCATGGAAAAGGCATTCCTAGTTCTCATGATTCAGGTTATCCAAGAGATACATTTAAAGGACCAAATCTTGTCCCTAATCCATCTATGAAGAGCCCTGACTTAATTAAGCATGATGTTACTTACATCTGTTAAGAACCGAGAGATGGTCTCCATTCCTCCCAGGCACCCTGAGTGCTGAACACAGCCAGCTGGCTCTGGTGGAGATCTTTGATAGCTAACCTTCCCAAAGCCTACCCCTTCCCACCTGACGTAGGAAATCACTTTAAAATCCCACGGAGAGTGACAATGTACCCACCCACTAAGGCACGTAGAGAGCCTTCAACCCGTGCTTCTTTGGCAGAATTCTTCACCGAACTTTAAATGAGAAGAACCTCAAAGATGAACATTCAAAGGCCATTTGCTTTCAGATAAGGGAGGGGAGTCAGAACCCAGGGATAACTTGTTACACGTCCCAGTTTCTCGATTATGCCGACTCATTAATTATTATATTTCCTTGAATCACAACACATCTCTCAACGTGGCTCAGTTATTTGTTTAGTAAATTCCCATAGCTGTAAACGCCCAAAGAAAATAACTGCCCAGGTAGTAAGATGGTGTCAGAGCTAACGAGTGAATGCTGGAAGTTCAGCCAGGTTCTACAGCATGTCTGTTCTCCAACTTGGGGAAAGGGGTTTACCTGCACCCTGCTTCCGCTTCCCCAACTGGGAATAAGATTCCTCCTCCCTGTTGCATTGACTTTACGCAGCGTGCTATCCACATGCACATCACAAACAAAAATACCTGTGGTTTCAATTCAAAGCAAAGGTCTTCAATGAAACACACAACTTTCCTCTAGTTCTTAAATGCTTCCTCTACCCACCCCCCCTCCCACTATCATGATCCCAATTTTACCTTACAAATCTGGCTAGACCAGAGGATGTACACTGGTACAGATAGGAGCTGGAAACACAGGGAATCCAGGGCGGATGATCCCTTCAGGACAATGGTGTGAGTGGTGATACCGGGAGGGTGAAGGGAGGGTGGGGTGGAAAGGAGGAACCAATTACAAGGATCTACATATAACCTCCTCCCTGGGGGAGGGACAACAGAAAAGTGGGTGAAGGGAGACGTCGGGCAGTGTAAGATATAAAATAATAATAATTTATAAAGTATCAAGGGTACATGAGGGAGGAGGGAATGGGGAGGGAGGTGAAAAATGAAGAGCTCCAGTAGAAAGAAAATGTTTTGAGAATGATGATGGCAACAAATGTATAAATGTGCTTGACACAATGGATGTATATATGGATTATGATAAGAATTGTATGAGCCCCCAATAAAATTATTTTTTTAAAGAAAATGTAAAAAAAAAGAAAAGAAAAGAAAAGAAAAAGAAAGAAAGGTCTTCAGTCCACCCGGGAGGAATCCTGGGTGGATCAAACAGATCCCTCCAGCTTGGCTCAAACTGGAGCCCCAGCGATGGCCAGGTCACACAAGGAATGGTGGCAGCCTGGCTGAGGCACATTTCCTCCCATTCACCCAGGACATCTAAGTCTGGCCTTGGAGGGCAGGGGGTGACAAGGGACGATGAGAGCTTGTGAGCAGGTGGTGGGGAGGCTGGCCAGGGCCCAAAGGTGTCAGGGTGGTCAGTAAAAGGAGGCGGTGAGTGGGGTGAGGGGAGAAGGACAGAAGCCAGGTTGGACTGCAGGCCAGAGCAGACAGAGGGCCACCACCCTAAGCTCTCTAGTCATGGGGAAGGGGAGCTTGCCCAAACTAGGCAAAGCCCCAGATGAGCCAGGATGCCTAATAGGCAGTGATCGGGGGAGGGGGTGGGTGGGATTGGACACCTATGCCAAAGCCAGGGTGGGATCCCTTTCACATAGCGCTAATTTCTCATGATGACCTTCTGGTCTTTAAAAACCTAACCAGGTCGTTAAGTGAGGAGTGGGTGTAAACCGGCCATGGAACACCTATGAGCGTAGTTCTATTGACACACACACACGGGGTCACTGTGAGTCGGAATCAGCTCAAAGGCTCCCGGAACCTACTAATATTGGTGTGAGGTTTCAGACTTCTAGATCCTAATCGCTGGGTAAACTTCCTTTTCTAATAAGATGCACGATCTACAACTAGCGTTTGCTCTTGGCTTTGACTAAAGTTGGTATGGGACAGGGAAGGAGAGAGAAAACTGGTGTTGGTCTAAAGTAAAAACAGTCAAATAAAAGCTCGGTCCTGAGGTGGTCTTTTTTTCATTCTTATTTTTATTGTCTGTCTAGGAGAGTCAGCAATAGGTATGCCCACTGGAATATGTGTCCTTGCTCAGTGTCGAAGCAGCAGCTGCAGCAGTGACTGGTCTTACTTAGCAAGATACTTCTCAGGAGGGTTGCCATCTGTACCTGGAATAAACCATCGACACCTGCTTCCCGTGCCACACAGGGTGCCGAGCCTCAGCCCAAGGACCATCTACCCAGCGGAGCACAGCTGTACAGACTAGGAAGGTCCGCAGGGAGCTTTCCTGGGTGCTGACCACCTCTAGGTCATGTTCTCTTTTGTTGACTTCTAAATGACACCAGCATCCTTCAGCTGTCTAGGCTGGCAATTGTTCCACCTCCAGCATGCAAAGGGCCAGCTGAGTTTGAGAAGATGGACAGCCAACAGGCCAGCTGTTGCCGACCACGGCTGATGAGCCCGGGGCTTCACGGCAGAGAGGGAGGCGAGCGAGACTCGGAGGCAGGACCGGAAAGTTATCTGGCATGACCTTCGTCCCCCCGAAAGCCATCTCAACCCGACAGGAACATCTGGATATCGTTCTGTTGCTTGGATGTTTCCCATGAGAACGTAGGTATGATAAAGTTCTCTCAACTCTGATTTCTCCCCAAGTGCTTAACTAATGCTTCCATGTTGCATGCAAAGGCCACTCTGGCATCATTCCCAACCTCAAGCCTCTTGCGAGGACCCCACAAAAGCCTGTCTCTCAATCCCACAGCAAAACAGAGTATTTCTCTGACCCAAATCTTGATTTCTCTTCTCTTTGGCTCACGTGCCCTCTCACCTGTGTCGGTCTGCTCCCTGACCATGGCCCTCCTTGACTGGGCCGCAGAGCCCTGAGAGGCCCCACCAGACAAGGACTGAGGAGGTTGACCAGGAGGCATGATTCCACCGGTAGGTTCATTTCCCAGTGATTGTATGAACAGGCCTGAGACAGACGCTCAGAATAAGAAGCATGACGCGTTAACATGCCCCTGATCTTCACATTTTTTGTTTGTTTTTTGTTTTTACTGAAAGGACCAGCTTTTTGCGGAGAATATGCAAGCTGAGCCCGATGGTCAGGCCAATAGGCTCACACTGGACTGGTTCCATGTCCTTCCAAGTTCCTCTCCCACTTCCCACACGCGAAAAAGCCCAGGGATTATGACAAAATGCCTGAAGGGCTCCAAGTAAGGATTCAACTGGCCAGCACTCCCCCAGGGCTGCCCAGTGGGACGTGGCCATGTAGGGTTGCTGTCCAGCTTGTTATAAAAGCACTTAGCTTCTTGGGGTACGCAGCCCATTCTAAGGGTATAAGGGTATCAATAGCTGGAATGGAGCTCCTCTGTTTCCAACCAAACTTTATTAAAACTAATTTTTAAAGGCAAGACATCTTGGCAGCAGAAAATCTTCTCCTAAGAAAACCTTTGTTTACAATGATCAAATCGATGAGCCATTTGCACAACCCAGGGCCCGGGCCCAACAAGAGACCCCTGGAGGCAGAGGTTGGTCACACTTCTGGAGAACGCAGAGATGACCAAATATTAGTATAAGGCAGAAAGCAGAGCACCCACCTTGGCAATTCCCACAAAGAAAAGGGGGGAGTGTGTGTGGGAGGAGGAGGTATGACAACTTTCCTTCATCAAACGGGTCACCTTATGGAAGGCTCTGAGAAGGAGAAACTAGTAGTCAGAGCCATTGGCTTTCTCAGATTATGTTCTTTCCCCGCTTGGTGCGATTATTCACATTGAATTCAAAGGACGAGCATGAAATCTCCCAAAGTGAAGCTGACATTGCCAAGATCTTTAGCTTGGTTGGGAGATTCAGTAGGAGAATTTCCGAGTAGGCTACTGGCTGCTCATAGCAACTACAGAAAGGAAGAAGGCAGGCAGGCAGAAGTGAAAGGAAGTTTCACACAAGCTTCCTGCCCTGACCCTTTGTTCAAGCAGACAGTGGACCCACACTCCACCAGGGTGCATTCTGTTATGGAGTGCAGCCCACTGCCAAGAGACAGGCATGGACAAGCAACAAGAAGAGCCTCACTGTGATGTCCCCAGACCAATTCCCTCCCCGGCCCTCTATCCTTAAGGCCGCTGGCTTCAGATTCCCCTGGGCATGCCCGGGCCAAACACAGTCTCTGTGTCAAAAGGATGAGATGCTAGGTAATGTTTATATTCCCCATCGATCAGTTTGGCAGCAGTGTTCCTGGCGAACCAGCAGTCAATCTCCTCCTCTCCATTGTAGATCTTCCTTTGTTTCCAGACCACTGGGACTTGGTGCCCTTTCACCTTCAGGACAGTCTCGGACCTCTGGTCGGCGGGCAGGAATGGGAGGACACTACGGTTCTTGCTCTGCTCTGCAGGCTCCTCTGTGAGCTTAGCATCCTGGTGCAGGAACTGACCTGGGAGGACAAGAAAAGCATCAGGGCTAAGTCAGACATAGACAGCATTGTTCTGAAATGTGACTTCCAGGCAGGCCACTGGCAATAAGGAGATGCAGGTGTGTAAAGGCAAAAGTAATTGCACAGGGGTGGGTAGACTGTTAATTGACCATGACCAAGGGGTGGCTCTCCTAGAAGGTTGTTCACACATTGCCCAGGTCAATGATATCAGATGGGGGGCACTAGAAAGGAGAGGGGATCTCTGGTGGCGCCATAGGGTATGCATTGAGCTACTAACCACAAGGCCGACAGTTCAAACCCACCAGTTGCTCCAAAGGAGAACAATGAGACTTTCTACTCCTGTAAAGACTGATAGCTTCAAAGGCACTAGGGAACAGCTACTATACCCTCCAGGGTCACCAAGAGACAGAATCAACTCACTGGCAGCCAGTCTGCATTCTGTGAGGAGGAGAGCAGGGTCCTGGTGGCACAGTGAATTAAGCACTGAGCCAATAACCCAAAGTCTGCAGTTTGAGCCCCTTAGCCTCTCCACAGGAAAAAGATGAGGCAGTCTGCTTCCCCAAAGATTATGATGTTGAAAACCCACAGAATAGTCCTATTCTGCCCTGTAGGGTCGCTATGAGTTGGATCGACTTGATGGCAGTGGGCTTGGTTTGGGGAGAGGCTATCAGGTGCCTTGGATGACACAGTC